AAAATTCACATAATATGGCGACAACAATTCATCTAAGTTCACAACAAGCCATGCCACAGCTTCCACAACATCAACACGTTCAAAATCAATCAGCCAGGAATCGTCCGATTTCGACACCAGTACCTATGAATTTTCCAAGATATTCAGAAATTCCACAACAACAACACCACCACCACCATCCTCAAATTCCTCAAAGTTCAGTAAGAAGAGGTAATATGTTTGGACCTTACCTTTTATTACAAACTTTGGGAGAAGGTGAATTTGGTAAAGTTAAACTTGGAATGCACGTTGATACTGGCGAAGAGGTAAAAAAAAAAAAAAGGAATAACGATATCAATAATAAATATATAAAATATTAATATTAAATAACAATAGTTAATAAATAATAAATAATTATATTTATAGTTAATAATAATATAATAATAATAATAATAATTATAATTAATAACTAATAATTAATTAATTAAAGGTCGCGATTAAGTTAATACGTAAAGAATCAGTAGATACACCTTCTCGACTTACGAAGATAGAGAGGGAAATAGGAGTGTTACGGGTATTAATTTTTTTTTTTAACACTATAATTATATTTTTTGAATTATTAATATATTTTTATATATTTTAAATTATTAATATATTATTATTAATCTATAATTATCTAATCTATATACACATATATATCTATCTATATAGAGTGTAATGCATCCAAATATTGTCAAACTATTTGACGTATTCGAGACAGATCGATATATTGGTATTATTATGGAATATGCCTCGGGTAAATTATAAATTTAAAACATTTAATTAATTTTAACATTTCAAGTTAATTAATTTTTTATTTTTTTCAATTAATTCTTCACAGGAGGCGAACTTTTTGATCATATATTAGCACATCGTTATTTAAAAGAACGAGATGCATGCAAGCTTTTCGCACAACTTATTAGTGGAGTCAATTATTTACATCAAAAAAATATTGTACACCGGGATCTTAAACTTGTGAGTTATTAAAATTTATCGCTGTCGCCGTCGTAAATATCGTAAATATGTTAATATTATATTTTCCATTTTTTTTAATTATAGGAAAATCTTTTATTAGATCGAAACCGAAATATTATTATTACAGATTTTGGATTCGCAAATCAATTTAATGGTGTTCATGATGATTTAATGGCAACTTCATGTGGAAGTCCATGTTATGCTGCACCGGAATTGGTAATTAGCGAAGGGCTTTACGTAGGAAGTGCTGTGGATATTTGGAGTTGTGGTGTCATTTTGGTAAATTTATTATTATTTGATTATTTTATTTGATTATTTATTTTATTTTATTTTATTTTATTATTTTATTATTTTATTTTATTCAATTATTTTATTATTATTTAATTTTATGATTTTATTTTATTTTATTTATTTATTTATTATTATTATTATTATTATTATTATTTTACTGTAATTATAATCTTTACTTAATAGTATGCCATGTTATCAGGATATCTTCCATTTGATGATGATCCACAAAACCCTGAAGGTGATAACATTAATTTACTTTATAAATATATTATTAATACTCCATTGGTATTCCCGGAATATGTAAGTTCGGATGCCCGAGATTTATTAAGAAAGATGTTAGTTCCGGATCCAACAAAAAGATGTGATATGCAGACAATAATGTCTCATAGGTAAAAAAAAAATATTTTATACTCTCTTTTATATATATAATTTTTTTATTAAAAAAATTATAATTATTTTCGTAATAGATGGATAGCTCAATATGCATCAATTTTTGATTGTACAATTCGGGAACTTGAGGTGATTAATTTATTCATAAAATATATATATATATATATTATTATTATTATTATTATTATTATTATTATTACTACTATTATTATTATTATTAATATTATTATTCATTAGGCGGCTGCAAATCCAATACCATTATTAACCCCACCTGAAACATATATTCCAGTTGGAAGTTCATCAAATAATTATTTAACCACTGATTATATTGGAGAACAACAAAGTGATATGGGACCAAGAACTGCAACTACTGTTAAAAGACATACAATTCAAGTTGAATATGAACAACCCGATAATACAGCAGGATATATTGATTATCCAGATGAAGATTTTCAATTCGTTGATGGAACTCGACTTGGACCAAGTTTGGTACCTGCAGTTACATCCGATAATATATTAACTGAAGAAAAGGATGAAATATCATTAAATGATTATGATAATGAAATATCACAAAATTTTGATTCAACTTCAACCCAAAATTTTGATTCCCAAAATTTGAATCTACCTAATGTAAAAAAACATCATAGTACATCTTCAACCATTTCTGGAAATTCTTTAGATAAAATTAGTTCTTCTTCTTCTTCACATTATAAAAATTCGACGAATATTGGATCTAATCTTCTTACTCTTCATGAAAATGGAGCAAGTAATGTTAATCCCGAAAAAAATCAGATTAATAATGTACATAGTAATTTAGTTTTACCACCACCAAATAATAATAATAATAATAATGACACAAATAATAAAAATAAAAATAAGTCAACCACAAATAATAGTTCATTAAATAAGAAGAATTCAAATAATAATAATAATAATTCAGAATCACAAAATTCCAAAAAACGAGATCGTACAAGACCTATAACA